GGAAACATGTAGATCCTCAGAAGAGTTTTTTGCACATAAGCAAAAGATGGCTTTGGCCTGTATTTTACTTCATGAGAGGATACTCGTTTCTATCAGACGTAAATAACTCTTGATGAAAAATGCAAATTGTGACAGTTGGTAGTTGTTTGAAGTGCCGCAATTTACTAAATTTTTCTGTTAAATAGTTTCATAATTGAGACAATAAAGCCTTTCTGTAAAGGATGAAGAAATTAAAATTAAAATTGAGTCCATTTAATAAATTGCTGTTCAATACTTCGTGCATGTGCTATCGTCTGTCAGTCTATACATCTATCCATTGTCCGTCTGCTAGTCCGTCCGATGTTTCAAAAAGTTTGGATCCTCACTTGGAAGAAGTGAATGGGTTAATGAAAACAAGAAGTTCCTTAAAACCGTCCTTCCCGAGACACAAAACAGAAACGGGAAGGGTTTGTGTACGCAAATAGCTGTAACAAAACATCTTTCCAATTCTCCATGTCATAATAAACAAATACATATTTTTGCTCATCTTTTTGGAAAATGGAATTTGGATGGAGCGATGGATTTTATAAATAAGCCACACATTCCACTTGTAATTACCGTATCTCAGCATGTTTTCGCCTGCCTATCTTTTTGCCGTCATTCATATGATTTGATGACTGATCAGAAATTAAACAGTGTTGTGTTATGCTCAAGCACGCGTAGTTCCAAATTCTGAGCCTCGTCGTCTTGAAGGAATGCATTAAGAATAGATTTATAAAACAATGTAATGGTAGCAAGTATGCACCCCTATGTTATTCTCTGGAAGTCACTTATATAATACTGTAATACCATATTAAATAATAATGTATTGTGATTTTTTTTTAAATCTCCTTTTAGCCAATCATTAAAGTTTCCTTACCAAACCACTGTATTGTACACCACCATATCCCAACCTCATGTATACAGATGAACTCAGTTCGGTTCGTTCACTAGATGTAAGACACCTCTGATTACATATATCATCTATCTAGTCCCCCTCATTTTTTAGTTTATCGGTGACAGAGGGATTTTGATCGTTCCTGCAGTCTTTAGAACTTATTCTGTGATACTTGAAATGATACATTGTGCCATTACCCTGCACTTGGTAACATTGTGGTACACTCTGAGTGACACCGCAGAGGTGTGTTCAAGACAGAAGTGCAAAATCCTTACACATCCTTGTGTTTAAAAAAAAAAAATGACTATGAGGTTGGGTCTTAAAGCAACACCCAGCAAACCCCAGCCGAAGGACGGCTCTGAATTAATAACACTATCAACTTATTTTTCTACTAGGCATATATTAGTTTTATATCTTATGCTTCCATGTTCAGTGTCATATTCTTACTATAAACATGCAATGCATGGGTGAGATGAAAGGTAGATCCCATGATGTTTTGCATGTCTTTAGAATGATAAAGCTTCAGTTTTAAAACATGTGGGGATCTACCTATTGGGCACCCATGACATATTAGATAAAAAGGCTGGTTCCCCCCCCCATTGCCCGTCAAGCTGCTTGACATTTCCCATAATCCTTTGCAAGATACCATTTTCAGAAGTGTACGTTGATGTTAAACATCTGATCTGCAAAATCAGTTCCAAAGGGGAAATGGAATTTTAAATTCGAAATGTTTTACAAACATATTCATCGTATCCTAATTTTTACAAACATATTCATCGCATCTTTCACCATTGACCTGATTTGAAGATAAGATGTGATTCATCTGTTGTTCAAATATTGACAAAGTGTCTCTCTTTGCATTTACTTGATGGAAGAAAAATAAAGGAACTTTATTCTTAACATACATGGAAATGGCATTATTGAATCAGTTGCCGGAAATTCAGGTTTGGCCGAGCTACCGAGATACATATCTATCCGCCATGTTACAATCTGTTAAACTGATGTAAAATACTTTATTATTTATTATATATGTATTTATTAAATAATTTCATTACATATTCAGCACAACAAACTCTAAATGAGTTTAATTCACTATTATCAAGGAAAGAGGGATCGTTTGAATTCATTAGAGCAGATTATATGAAATAAATATATTGTATATAATATATCTTATATTTGAAAGAAGAAAAACTACCACAACAAGAGGACATAGTCTTAAATTAGAGGGACAAAGGTTTAAAAATAATATCAGGAAGTATTACTTTACTGAGAGGGTAGTGGATGCATGGAATAGCCTTCCAGCTGAAGTGGTATAGGTTAACACAGTAAAGGAGTTTAAGCATGCGTGGGATAGGCATAAGGCTATCCTAACTATAAGATAAGGCCAGGGACTAATGAGAGTATTTAGAAAATTGTGCAGACTAGATGGGCCGAATGGTTCTTATCTGCCGTCACATTCTGTTTCTATGAAAGAATTCAAAGCCACATCTAAACACTATCCTTTATTTTCCGTAGATACGTTTTTATATTTTTTTTCCTTGTGAGAGATCGTTTCAGGGACGACTTGTTTCTTTATCAAACGCTCCGACTTTCCCCCACTTTGTCCAGGGCCACTAGAACACAGTAGTTTGGGGCTGCAGATTGATACTATTCTGTTAATTAACATTTCAGTAATGGTACAAGAAAATTAAACCCATGATTTTAAATACTTTCTACATCTCCAAAACAATTTTAAAGTCGGACACTCGGAACAAAAATAAACAAAACATATAGATCAATCTCGATAAACATTTTTTATAGAAACAGGTATGACAGTTTTCTTTAGCTGATATTTTCTTAACTTGTTTAGATAAGGCTCCATAATGTAATATTACGAAATCACAATACAAATTGAGTTATCACAGTTACTGTGGCATCTGGATCCCAGAGCACCTCTACATATAATTGGAGGCCTAGTTTTGGATAGACTTGTGCACAAATATGTTTCAGGTGGGACGAACAACTCAAGTTTCTATTAATCTGCACTCAAATTATTCGACCCATCTGGGATTTGCCTATAAAGTCTTATTCATTGATCCTGGATGGATCATTTTTTTAAGGCATAAATTAAGTGGCGAAGGCTCCAAAAGTGAAGAATGTCAATATGTTCAATGAGCAGTGACCTGTGCCAATCCATTCTGTTGATGAATACACAACCCCACACAAGGCTGCAGAACGCGTAGGTGCAATATAAATATAGCAAGGTATTCATATATGATATTTAACCCCTTAAGGACCAAACTTCTGGAATAAAAGGGAATAATGACATGTCATGTGTCCTTAAGGGGTTAAACAGTAGATCATCCAGATACAGCAGTATTCTTTTTTTTATGCGCATAATTCTAAAGCGAAGATCTTGGCATGCCCCAGCTGCACACATGATTTATAGTCAAGGGAATTGTGGGTGTCATAGACCCATTTTGCACAAACCACATCCTTTACATTAAGAGATTACAAGTATAAATGATTTTTATTCTTTTCCCCAACATCCCCCTTGCCACATTTTAATTTTTTTAAGACGCAACTTCAAAATGTCCCACAGGCCACCCCTCCTTCCTACCTCACACATCAATCTGTCGACTCGCCAGCGAGATTCATCTGTTCGCTCTGTTGTACAGCTGACACAGAACAAATTAGAGGAGCAATCACCAGCCCTTGATGGGAGAATGATCAAACACTTTAAACTGTGTAGCATTTTGTATATAAATATACAAAACCCTCAGCCATGTGTGACCAAAAAAAAACCACAAGTTAAAATATTAACATATGGCATCCTGTCGCTTTTAGACTTAAAAACAGATTCCATGCGTTGAGAGACGTGGAATAATTTTATTTTTTTCCTCCAACGTTTCCTTCGTTGATAAGATAACCTTTTTAAGTATAAGTGGTGTTGTGAGACGCGTGGTAAACAAATCAGGATATGAGAAGAATTTAAACATGTGGTTTTCCTTCATTGATTTGGTAGGATGTTATGTAAAACACTGCTTGAAAGGAAGTGGGCAACAAGTAGTAAATCCAGGACTTGGAGTTAGCAGTATGTTACATGAGAAACATTTGATATCCACATTTTTTTTTTTTTTTAAATGTATCCTGAAATGGTTTGTTCTCACGGGTGCCGATTGTGGTAACAGCTTTTTTTTGGTACTTGAATATCAGGATACAGTGAGAAGGAAAAAAAAAAAATGTATGTTCTGCACTATAGTTTAAGGCAGGACATGTGATATTAAAGTTTTAAGGGGAAATGTTACTTCATCACCCGTAACTTGGGTCACCCCTTTCTCAAGTTATGCTCCATTTTCTTCTAAATTTAAATTAAAGATTTAGCAATTGATGTAAAAACCTTTTACCCCAGCCAGGAAACACGCTGCATTGAATTATCGAAAAAAATGTTCTTCTCTGCGTGATGACTGACAGACGCAGAGAGCAGAACTTACAACCGTTACAGACACGGACCCAACGAGGAGGCACTGAGTTCCAGAATTAAGGTAAATCCAGAAGGACAAGTTTCTTCATTTAAATTTTATTTTTCAGACCTCACAAACACAGAGCAATAATGTGGTCAAGACAGGGTGTCAAGAGTGGACAACAACTACAATTAGTAAAATTATATTCTAGAGCAGTGATGCCCAATAGGTAGATCCCCAGATGTTTTAAAACCACAGCTTCCATTATGCTTAGGAATTCCAAAAGCAAAGCTTCATTGGAGTTATAGTCCTACAAGATCCGGGGACATGCCTTTTGGGTACCCCTGTTCTAGAGATACCTGTATCTCTACATGTGAACATTCTCCTCCAATGAGGTTTTAAAATAAAGAAAACATTAAGGTTTTCATTCTAAAGCCATATACAGCCATATATAAAGGTATTGTTATATTACAGGATGTTTAGATATAGGACTAACTGTTGGAAGCAAGCCTCCCGTGCCAAACATTGCACGGCTACAAGACTAAGAGCAATCCACCCACAGCAGCACACATCTGGATGGAGCCAAATGGAGAAAGGTACAAGTTGTGATGTCATTGTCTATAGCAGGCATGGGCAACCTTCGGCACTGCAGATGTTTTGGACTACACCTCCTATGATGCTTTTCCAGCATTATGGGGGATGTAGTCCACACCATCTGGAGTGCCGGAGGTTGCCTATCCCTGGTCTATAGACAGAACGGAGGGATTTGGAGGGATCCAAACTTTGGATGATACATTTGTTGGCAGCATCTTCTCCCCTAAATCGTAGTAAACCTTCACCCTACCCAGAGTCTGCTTAGGTGCCTCCTATGGCACAGCCCAATTAATGTTAGGAGACAATTGCCTATTAATAAATTCTAAATGCATTTCATTTAAATTAAGAACCAACATTTAACACAAAATCCATTAAATATATTGAATACTCTAAGTGAGCATGACACTTATTATGGAGAGTAATACGAAAGGTTGACCAAATATCAGCTATTGTCAGCACCTACAGAAGAGGGACGGTGATATTGGAGTCCCAGCAGGCCATTGATATTACACTTGCACAAACATTAATTTGTGTTGGTTTGACCAAATAAAATCCTTTAATACACACCCAATCTAATGGATTAATCTGAGATTCATGAATCCGAATCTACAGGTAAATTCCAGACAAATTGATTTATTCAGGTGCGGATTGAAGACACTATACTTACTAAAAACCCTCAAAAAGTAATTTAGTAGCATTGCCCTCAATGAAAATTATGCAATTTAATTATGCATTTCTAAAAACAGTTTGTAAAGGCTGTAGATCTCTTGTCTGCAGCCTTTGTAAGCAAATGCAAAGTCTTTGCAAGGTAGCTGTTCTGGGCAAATGCTGCCTCTTGGGTTTAGCTCCACTGAGCTAATCAAACCAGGAAGTAATAAGGTTGGTTGACAGCCATGGATGGGTGGGGGAGGGGGGGTGTAACAAGGCCCATTTTAAAAATGGCAATTTCTATGGAAATCTGCACTCATTTTAAAGAGAACACACGTTTCACATATAAAGTACTTCAGCATGCTAAAGTGCTTTAGGTGTTTTGAGTATTGCGTTATAAACAATTTAATTCAGAAAAACCAGCTTACATTTTTGCACAAGTCTAGTTCATATGGTCAAATATAGCACCATAAAGGGCTTTTATATAAAAAAAATAAAAAAAAGCCTTCTATTAAGAATGAAAGTTGCTTAGTAAGCCAGAGTAAAGCAATGTTTTAAAAGTAACAGAATTTGAAAACTTAAAAAATACTCTATTCAAGAATACTGGCTCTGTGTACAGGGCCAACAAACTGCTCGTAAGTAACCGGCTCATTATTAGAACTGTACAAAAGGTAAACATGCCACTCACTTGGACTTCAAGGAGTATTCGAAGGAGAGTTTATTTACAGTGAGAACATTAGAGATTTATTAAAGGAATTCACTGCTTAAACAGGTGGTTTTAACATTCTGTACAGAGTTTTTTTTAATTTAATTTTTTTTAAATATATCTTGAATTTGTATTTATTCTTTGGGAAAACCAGAATATTCAGGGATAGAAAAATCAATGAGGATTAACGGTTTATTGATCCAAGGAGAAATCTGTCAAAGATTTTTCCCATGTCTGGTAGCAAAATTGTTAAGTTGCGTCAATTTGCTACCTTCTTGAATTGATAGCAGAAACAGATGTGTAGCTTTCTAGACTGAATTGTTTTTCCAGCCTATATATTAATACTTTTGCAATAATCCCACACTATGTCCCAGTTTTAATTCATTAGGCATTCCTCAGTATGGTCTTGCTGTATACAAACATGAAAAGTGGGGAATGAAATTATCAAGGTAATAGTCACAAATGGAGGGGGACACAAACATGAAAGCCAAAAAAAGGCCCCTGCAGAGATTAGAGGCAAACCCCACAAAATCATTTGATTCTTGAATTAAAGGGACACTACAGTCCCCAAAACAAATTTGGCTTAATGAAGCAGTTTTGGTGTACAAACCATGCCTCTGCAGTAGCATTACTTAATTTTCTGCCATTTGGGAGTTACATCAGTTAATGCTATCCTAGTCACACCTCCCTACAAATTACTTACACAGCCTTCCTAAAAACTTCCTGTAAAGAGACATCTAATGCTTACACTTTTATTGTAAATTCTGTTTAATTTTGAATTTCTCATCTCCTGCACAGTTAATAGCCTTCTAGACCCCGTAATAGCCTCCTGTGTGTAATTAAAGGTCAATTTACAGAGCAGGAGGTAAAAAAAAAATCTAAAGCAAATTAATAAGATTGAAAATCAAACTTTTTCATGCAGGCCGTCTCCGTCATAACCAGGGGAGGTATGGATAAGGCTGCATAAGCAAAGAACTCCTTTTTAACTCCTAAATGGCAGAGAACTGAGCAGTGAGACTGCAGGGGCATGATATATACCCCAAAACTGCTTCATAAAGCTAATGTTATTTTGGGAACTATAGTGTCCCTTTATTACTACCCATGCCATCGATCTTGGAAGCTTAGGTGTAGGTTGACTTTCCAGATCAGGCCTACATCTCAGATACTGCAAACTGGAGCCATAACCAATGAGCTATTTCACCTGTTGGTTACAATGTTTGTCTGCTGAAGTCGTTCTGTTACATTTTTATCAACATAAGAATACCAAAAGCAAGTCCGTGTCAGCAGAGAATAGGTTTATTGTAGGCTTATAATACAACAATTTCAAAAATTAGGAAATTTACAAATATGCAAGAGAACATTTAATAAAAACACTAAGTCATGTTACATCATTCATTTATCTTAACCCCTTGAATGCCACAGGGGGAAGCAACTCCCTGTCAAGTGTACCCATCATCTGGCACTCACGGGGTTAAAAAGAGACCATTTTTCCCACACCCTGTTTCCATGCAATTTACACACAAATATTGCTTTTTGTGAAGGTCAGAATGTATAACCTTTAGTGCCATTATCTGTTAAATACCCCAATTATACCTGTGTAAAAAAAAAAAAAAAAAAAAAAAAATTTATAACTGCCCCATAACCTTAGCTTTAAAAAGTTTCACCAATATGTACAAAAACCCTTAAATTACATATAAATAAATATGTACATTCAGAAAATAGTTTCCCTTAACTCCTTTGAGGTCAGAGGAAATGGCAACACATTATGCGGCATAAACACAGCATTCTCCCCCCCTCCTCCCCCACTGCGCCGGCCAATTGAGCATCTTGGCAAGTGTACTTCACGAGAAAGCGCCAAATTTAGCCATCAGGGCAAAAGGGCACGGAAAAGCCTCTGATTGCGAAGTTAACAGAACAAATCCTACAGATCATGGGATCATTGGGCATTTAATTAAAAATGGATACGACTTATCCCAGTGTAAAGGTACTTACAGGGTTAAACCTAACCAGCACTTTAACAAAAAATTGCATAAAAAACAGGGCCATGGACCATACAGCAGATAAGAAAATGGAAACACGGGGAGATATAGTGATAAAAATAAACCAATGGATACCATCTTTATACAACAGCCATACAAGGCTTTTAGCCCAGAAACAGGGGGCACCTACATTAAAAGTTAAATTAGCAGCAGGGTTCAAATGGTTAAGAGTTTGTTTGTTTTTTGCAACAAACATTTCATATAGTTTGGCCTTTATAGAGAAAAAATTAACCATGAGAAAGTTTCAATGCAATGGTAGTACTTTTACTCGGTGGCACCAAATTTAAAAAATAAAAAATAAAAAATAACAAGTAATGAGAGCTTTTGAGTAAGCTGTATGCTGATTGGCTAAAGTCATAAGTCAACCTAGTTGACTACAAATTACGGTCAGAGTTGCCGAACTGAAATTTGTTTGGTAAGACCAGTAAGAATTATGCTGGAGGCTCGGGGTTAAACTACTTACAAAACCCATAGCTTGTCCATTTTTTCCCCAGAAAAGTTGGCAAATGTCAATGAGGGCAAACCACAATAGCAGCTTCTGACTAATATTTTCTTATATTGCCCTGGATTAGCGCTGATAAGAAAGAAGATCATAAGCTTTCGCAAAACTATTTGTTTTAGCTCTGCAATAACTGGGGATCCACTTTTTGGCCAACCTGTTCCCAATACACTGCATTTTACAGCAGAGTTCCACAATTCTCTTTATAAAAGTTACCAGCTTAACTCAGTTTGTCCCGGAGTTGATGAGGTAACAAACTCTCTAGATAGGCAACCATCAGCACTCCAGCTGTTGTGGACTACATTTCCCAAAACCTCTTTCAGCCATATTTCTTGCAAAGTATCAGGGGAGATGAACACAACATCTGGATTGTCAAAGATTGTCTACCCTTGCCCCTGGGTCTCTGATCTGGGCAGGGAACACACATTGTCCATAAAAATGTTTGTTAACATCAGGAACCAGAGCTGATCAGTCTATGGCTCATCTAATTGGTTGGTTTGGCCAGAAACAGGAGGATGACATTCAACCTGCTTTCTGGTCCAAGGTCCTCGGCAATCACCAAGTGCGTGCAGTTGGTACACACCAAGTCTAGAAAAAAATCACCAGATGAGGTGTAAGCTACTGGTGGCCAGGAAGTGTTGGACTGATTAGTGGGTAATTCCATATCTGGTTGGAGAATGTTCTCCTCTCTCTGAGAATCACAATACAAGGATTTCCACCCAGATTTTTTATAGACTATAGACTCCTAACCCTGTCCTCAAGCACCAACAGCCCAGATTTTAGGCATTTTCTGGTATTGTTTCAAAGGGAATACAGAAGAACCTGGGCTGTGTTTGTGCTTTAAGAACTGCGCTGGGAACCACCAATATTCATGGCAATTCGCAAAGAAATAAAGAAAAGATGCCAATACTCTAGATGAATTTATTCATTAAGTACTGAATTAAAGTGAATTGAAGGGTAAAACAAATAGACAATACAATAGCAGAATAAGCAAGATTATCCCACTCAACTATAGTCTAAGCTTGAATATTTTGCTTGAATATATAAAAAAAAAAAAAAATTAGTAAAAAAAAAAAAGCATTCGATTCACCACAATTCACTGTTTAGTGAATAAATCCTACAAAGTGGCCTATTTTATGGACTTTGGCAGCAAACATTACCCATTCCTACTTGGGGGTAAAAAAAAATAAAAAAATAAAAAATTTAAAGACATGCCATTTGTTAAGAAAGGGCTCATTTTAACAGCACCTTCCTAAACAAATAGACTTAAAACTTTATTTTAAAAAATATTTAAAAATAAAATTTAAATAAAAAAAAAAACACTGCACACCCTTACAGTACACCACATTCCCCATTTGTCTACTAGATATTCAAACTTTAAATTAGCATGACATTTTTTCCAGCAACATCCAGTATATTGGCCAAAAGGTTCATGGGACTGTAGTTTAACAAGATCTTTAAGTCCAGTGTTTGAACAGTCCTGCTATGGAGCCAGATTAAAGATCTGAAAAAATTACAAAAAGTTTTGGACCTTCTTTGCCCAGGCTATGTAACATAAGTGTTCCTGTAAAAATGGCTAATGGTTGTCCTAAAAGGTGTGCAACAAGTTCTGGCTTAATTGGGGATGAGGAAAGGAGGCATTTACATCCCTTACACCAATATATATTCTTGTTTAATACATTGATAGACTAAAACGTCTGGGCTTTAAGTTTTGTTTTTCACATAATTCTAATCGGATCTTTGCCAATTTCTTAGAACAAGCTTCAGTAGTACCTGTATTTCTATACATTTATAGACATAATAATGAGGGTGTGGAGAGGTAATTTAAAATGAAACTATAGCAATTATGGAACATGTTTAAATAGTGGACATTAACAGTCTAGTAAAAAAAAAAATATATATATAAAAATCTATTGTATCAAAAAAAAAAAAAAATGATACTTGGGGGATCAGCTTGTGAAATGTCTTCGCTCTTTCTGTAGAAAGAATTTTTTTTTTAAATTTGAAATTTTTTCTCACATTGCCTAGATTGGTTTTAACATTTTTGAATTTTGTTAAAAAAAATTTTTTTTTAAAATTAAAGTAAAGTAAAAAACATTTTCTAAACATCTGTTTGCAGATCTGGTCAAGCATACGGGTAATATCAAAATAAACAGTTTCAAGCCCATTTGGCATGCCTGAGAAGTTTGGTTACTTCCAAAGACCTTGCGAAAATGCTTGCACCACTGATTTGAAGTCCTGTCGAGAATTTGGCAATGAAATGTGCGAGCAGTGGAGGCAAAGGTTGGAGAAAGGAGTAGAGGAACCATTTTCTTTTTCTGGAAAGAGGGAATATTCCACGACAGAAAGGGCAATGCCAGGAGTGCAGAACACAACACTGTCCCCATAGTATGCCAGCAGGGTTACGGATGTCCGTTGGCACCTTCGTCATGTCAAAAATGAGGATTAGGAGGGATAAACTGTTCAAACCTCTATTAACCCACTTGTAAAATAAAACGTATAAAAGATGTCCTGAAATTTACCAAAAACGTCACTTCCTGTGCTTGTCCATCTTGTCAATATTTTTATTGCCATCCCCTGGACTCTGGTCGCCAGCATTCATATACATTTTGTCTGCAAGTTTTAATGCTTCGTTCAAGTAATTTTGGACAGATGTCATGGCAGCACAGATAGCAGCGCTTCCAAAGCCATGTGTAATTAGGCTAAAGTGAGCTAAACATCCCTGGATGCCGGGTTCCAAGATAGGACTGGGTCTCGCGTTACCAAGTGGTGTTCGGTCTTGGGTCAGGAGATCTGTGAATTCTTTACAGATTTGTCTGGAGGGAAAAAAAAAAAAAAAGAATTTGTATAAGTCATTTTTCATCAAAATCACAACTGTAAAAATTATTAAAACACTTGAGAAGACTGATATAAATGACACTAGAAAAGTGGGGGAAAACGTTTTAAGCCCTTAAGCATTCATAATGGGGCAGGTTCATTAAGGCTTCAGTCAAGCATACTCTTATTAGAGCTGTATAGCCTGTGCTTGAATTCTATGTCCTGCAGGACTTAATGTAGATACCAGACATGCTGCAAGCCAGGGGTAGCCAACTGCCAACACAAGACTCTTTAGACTGGATTACACACAATGCCCTTACAGCCACAATGCTGGCAAAGTATCAGGGGAGAGGTAGTCCACAACATCTGGAGTGCCGAATGTTGCCTACCCCTTGCTGTAAACACACATTCTTCTTGGCCAAAAGTGAGACAATCTAGTATTTGAAGGTGGGCATATCCAGTTAAACATGGATAGTCTCAACCACAAACTGGTATTGGTCAACAGGTGTATCTTCAACATCCCTACCACCAAACCCCCCCTCCCCCCCACCCCAAAAAACAAAAAAAACAAAAAAACATAAAATAGCTCCAACACCAAATGTATGCCCTAAAACCATACAATATGAAATTAAAAATAATTACCATTGGCATAGCCATAAATATACCAGGGGTACTATGACACCAAGATATCATTAGACTGCATGCTCCTTTGGGTAAAAAAAAAAAAACTTTCACACCTTTTAAATTGTGAGCCCTTTGACCCACTGCTACTGGGTATGTCGTTTGCTTAAATAGCTCCTGATGCCTAGTGTAGATTTCTACTTCTTCATATTAGCAACGCACTGAATTTTATACACAGCCACAACGAACAATGATCTTGTACACAAAGACACATCACACAATGCAGAGAGATTTCTGGTTTCTGCATGACTGGAAACCTGGAAGGCTGTTTGTATTCGATCTCACATATCCTTCCCGCATTAAAAAGCAGCAAACTAATTATGCTGGGAAGAGATCATTAGGCTTACAAGTTTAAAAAAAAAAAAATAAAAAAAAGGCTCATTAGAGATTAGAGAACAACCTCTCCCCCCTCCGACTATGTGCTGACAAATCTCAAGATTTTTGCATCATTGACCAATTTTAAAATTCATTAGGTACTCGTCTCAGTGCAGATCACAACAGCTGCAGGAAGCAGTTTGAATTTTTACAAGACCAGAACGAAATATCGGATTCAAGGTATCAACACATTAGAGGTACCCTTATTAAAATCACTAAAACCACATGAATGAATGACTGGTGGCCTACGTTTTTAGAAATTGGAGAAGTCTGAGGGGGTTAATTCAAGAATTAAAACAATGGCGACCCATTGCATTCTTAGTGCTAGTGTAACCTCATTTGTCCTTGAACCACAAATGAATGCATCTGGGAAACTCGACTTATATGGTAGGAAGTAGTAACGTTAAAACCAGTCCAAGATGAACGAGTCATAGGCTTTGTTCAAGTCATAGGGTCAGCACATTCCTTACCCCCAAGTACTACGTTAAATATGCTCTTTGAAGTGGTATTGGTGAAAAACAATGGAATTTAATATTGAACGTGCAGAACTTCTTTAGCAAGAACATTTAAAAAAAAATTTGTTACGACACTCAAGTACATTAGAGTTTATCTTCAAGTCTTTTGTAGAAGTCACATGAGAGTTTTTTTTTGTTTTTATCAATTCACTAAATAAAAGCTTAAAAAGTCACAGCCTTCAGAAGTCAGCAACAGGCGAGGGATTTTCAATAAAATAAAAAAAAAATTAACCACCCCCCTCCCCCCAAAAAAAACAAACACTTATTTTCTCCCACCCACCTCTCCCCCCTCCTATATATTTTTTTTAAAACCAAAACACACTATGGTGCTCAGGAAGGAATTTTAAAAATACAAACAAATTTTAGTATAAATCCTTACTTTGCTGCAAGAAGCATGTTCTTACGGTTCGCCATCTCATTCCTTTCCATGTGCGACCTGTTTAAGTACTCCGCTACTGCTTTTGAGGGGAACTCTGTTTCACATACGTAACCAAAATCCCGAGCAAGATGAACAGCTTCACCTGAATACAGGGAAAATTAATAAAGTTAAAAATTATTATTTAGGGTTTTTTGTTTTTTTTTGTTTTAAATGCAGAATATATTCAGTTATCTGAATAAATATCGGAGTTTGCCACTTCCTTTGTGCATATTCTGCAAACGATCTCTTTCAAAACTACTTTTCAAAGCAGCCCCCTTAATCCCTTGGTATACACTTCTAAAATGTTTATATTGAATATTCAATTCAAAAAAAAAAAAATCTCACTTGGCACACCATTCGGTGCAATAAAAACATTTATTGGAAGAGGGAGTGTTACGGGATAGGAGCAGTTTTGGAATCTGGCCAAAATTTGTGTTGCATAAGGACAGATTTCTAGCCTGGCCATGTCTTCCTAAATGCAATAAATGACATGAGCTTTCTAAATGGGAGTTTAGGTGGGGCAGGGGCAAGTGCGAAGAATACAAAATATAATTGTGCGCATAGGGTGTTTTTTTGTTTGTTTTCTAACAGTGTACATGTACATTTTGTTAATTGAATCGAACAGAACCCATCAGTTGGTTAAATGCAAAACCAAACCAAATAAAAAGATACAAATTTAAAATTAACGGCATTTATTGTAGGGGGGGGAAAGTTTAACAAAAAAAAAAAAAAAACCCACACCTTAATTCCATATCAAATCTAGATCTTTATACAAATAAATCGACCAGCAGTCATTTAAAAGCCTGTCTCTATACAGCACACTTTTGTGGGATTGCAGGAAATGACTGATGGTAAAGCTGTGTGATTGCTCTGCTCTAAGAACCAGAGGAAGTTATAAGTCTAGGACTAACTCAGCAGACCAAAAATGGAACAAGCCCCAATTTGTGCCATCATTTCTTACGTAGTCAATCTACACCAATATTGCATTACGAGAAGGTTACCTTTTCGAGAAAAAAAAAAAAGAAACCCACACAAACTAACCTTCTACTAATGAGGTAAGTAGAGTTACGTTGGCTGCTTTTCGTCTCCCAGCTGGAAGGTTAAGACCAATTTTCTCAAGTTTCTCACGCAATGATCTTCCTCCATTTTTTGATTTTGCTCTATTTAAAAAAAGAGAATAAAAATATATTTTTTACAAATTACACTTAATGTTTTTAAGTGCTACCAGTCATTATTTGTAGAAATAAGATTTCAAAAGTGGATGCAACACTCCCAACCACTTCATAAAGGGGGGAGTGGGGCAGCAGGAGGAAGCGTTATTGTACTAGATCATGGGTGGGAATGATGGACAGAGAACTACTACCAGTACAAGATAAGATTTATTGCCCCTGAGTACTTTGCCCACTTCCTCCTCTAGGGAAGAGCCCAGAAAAACTGGCTTCTGGCCCATAGAAAGGTTCTTTAGAGGCTCTGAAGTGAACTAACAATTTTCAACGCACATTGCTAGGAATTGGGGTTTCATTTAACGCAACATGATCAGACTTCGGTTAATCACTGGACTTCAGTGTCACTCAGGTTGAAAAACCAACACTCATATTACTGAGCAGAAGAACTCATTTCTGTTAACCATCTGTTTGCAGAACATTAGATTTATGCAAAAGGTGTTTTTAGTGTGTCCAACAATACAGATAAGTACATACGGCAATCGTAAGTTATATTCAAGTTATAGAATTTAAGCATGTGTTATGACTGGCAAATGACTTGGAGTTATAGATGAGGGCTCTTTCACATCATACTCTGATAGTTGCGTCAAATCAAGGGTTTACAATGGTTACCTCCTTAGGACCCCTCCAAGTAAGGATGCATTCAAGCATTCAGGAGGAGAGAGTCTGCGCTGGACCTCTGCTACAGTAACTTTGTATTTTGAGGTGGAACTCAAGAGTGAAAGACGTCCAGGTACCGAGCAGAAGACTTCATTTGGGTTAATCACCATTCCCAGGAGACCATCCTTCTGATAAGGCATATTTAGAGTGTTTTTGCCAATGGAGATGGGACCTAATCAAAGAGATGCAAGTGTAAGCATTGAATTTGAATATAAACTGTGGCAGTATAGAATGTCTAACGACTAATCAATAAACATATACCATGCGCTGCATTGTTTTTATTTTGTAGTCCAGAGACCCATAATTCACATAACAGCCTCAAAGAAGTTCTACGTGCCCAATAGATCTAGAAGAGACATAAGCACCCGTTCGGCACTCCAGATGTTTTGGACTACAACTCCCATGATGCTTTGCCAGTTCACAACATCTGGAGTGCCGAAGGTTGCCTATCCCTGATCTAAAACTATAAAAGGCTTAGATAGGATGTCCAAAATGTTGTAGTTATCAATAAAAATAAAGTTCCAAACGTGAAGCAACCAATAGCTTAGCTGATAGTTTCACAATTTCACTTTACTCCATGGGTTGGGAAAAGAGGGGGTGGGATGAGAAACTGACACCACAACATATCCATTCTTTTTGTTCAATCCCACTTTCCAGAAAGTATTTTAACTCTAACAATCTATTTTCTTCCACTCCTGTGATGTGGGTGGGCACGGGGCAGGTAAATTCTGGATATTTTCTAAAATTAAAACCCAGCAATAGCCCACATTATACGGTAACTCATGCTTGTTTTAGGAATTGGTAAGGCAATTCTGCAGAAATGGCTTCCACATCAAAGGCAAATAGGACAAGGCTTTTTTTTTTTTTTTTTTTAACGATAAAATGGTCACCAATGAGCTGTTCATTAAAGCTACACATGAAAAATCAGAAGACCTTAATGTAGTTAACCATGCACGAAATTAGAGGAATCCCAAACAAGGCCTGGGAACGCCATTTACATTTACAAGGAGGGGTGGGTGGCACATTTTTAGCGATCTAACAGTGAATCATCATTTGAAAAAAGCTCCATACACAAATATGATTCAAAAAGATGAATCAAAATGGGTTCTGTCTTGGGCTCTAACAAGTTAATAATAAGCTATAAGCTACAAGGTATAGAAAATCGCAACAAACCCAAAACAACTACAATAAAATAAATGAAAAAAATAGAATACGAATCATGTACTCGTGAGGGAATAAAGTTACTTTTATTATCACTTGTATGAATAATAGTTTCTACAAAGATATTTAAAAGATTTAGCAATTCCTTAAAATTATTTTAACACACTTGCCAATTAGACATTCAAATGTAAAGGGGAAAAAACAAAGTATTTTAAACCAACTATGCATTCTACAACCTAGCCAATCAGAATAGAGGCTCATGGTCTGTAACCGGAAAACCTACAGATACTTTAATGAAAGCTTCCTGTAAGCTATAGATTGCGGAGTTCCGGGAGACAAAACTTAATTTTAGGATGGGAATGTTATGTAACTTAACTAAATGTTTTTGGTTCTAAAAATGTAAGCATTAGATTTCTCTAACACTATTTGTAAGAACTTAAAGGGACAATCACAAACCAAGAAATATTAAGAAGAAGAAACAATATAAGCATTGTGTCTACACGAGAACGCTTCCAAATTCCTGACAAGAGCCCTTACAGATCCCAAATCACAGGTTATGTATCCAAAACTGAAAGGGTTTGCAGACACATGTGGCAAGTAACATGTTAAGGCACGTTAACAGGCAAGGATCATCCCTCCAACCCAAATATACGGTCTGATTAGGGACATGTAGGCCAGATGTGGCATTCGAGGTTATAGTGCATCGCATATTCTGGCTGACCTGCAAATTCCCAACCCCATTACGTTGAATTACTACAAATCCCAGCACGCAGGGATTCACACCCAGTTTAAATAGTTCCGAATAGAAAAGATTTCACACAATACTTTTGGTCTTAAAATAAAACGTTTCTCTTCACCGCAAAACAAAAACAAAAACAAAAAACACGCATATATATCTATGCACACGCACGTATTGCAATTTCCAAACTTTCAAAAAAAAAGTTTGAATTTGTGATCATAAATTTGGGAGGTTAAAAAAAAAAAAAAGTTTTAAAAGAAATCACGAGTCAAACTATTATAAGATTCAAAATGAAATGCATGCAACGCTTTAATCAACACTATGAAACGCACTCGATAAACATAAATCAAAACAAAGCATGTTAATCTGCTCGAAAGATCTGGGATTGTTTATAAAAAAATTCCAATATAACTCGCGCATCTTTCTACTTGAGCGAGAAGTAAATATTTTCAAATGACAGTCATGCAATCAATATAGTTTATAAATAAAATTTAGAGAAGTGGATCTGTTTATACTCAAATCTCATAGGTTAAAAGTTTTTAAACTCCTCTATGAAGAAAATAATTCACAAAAAAACCCTGTATAGTTTGTGAGAAATTTAACATGCAACAAAACAAAACACTTTTTCACAAATTAGGGCTGGCGTGAGAGAATTTTAATTTACAAAATACATTTTTTTTTTTAAAATACAGATTTAAAATATTTACTTTACAAGTTTTGAACAGATTGTCCACTTTAAATCATTTTGCAAAGTATGTAAAACTATCTTTCATCATCAGTATAACTTTAATATTTTTATAAAAACATAGAAAAATGTTTTCAGGAAAAAAATAAAAATGCATTGAGAACCAACCTTTTTTAATGACTGTCTGGTCATGCATTATTAAATTTTGATCTTCCAAACTCTGGAGGATAAAAGAAAAACAGAATACAAATTTAGTATATTAAAAATGATATATTACAAACCAGATTTATCAAGAAAATACAGTCGAAATCTACAGAAATGTAGGTCTGGTGAAATAACCTGCACCTTTACATTTAGACAGGTTCAATATATATATATTTTAAAGACAATTTAATTTGTGTGCAAAAAATGATTTTAATTGCATCAATTTTTGCAGTTTAATGACCTACATAACACATGTGTCATTCCATATATGATTGAAGTATAGATAAGCAGTTCAGTATTTTATACATTCACTTAATTTGACAATAAAAAGTTAATTTTTTTTCCCCCCAAGATAATTATCGGAAATTGCAAAAATAGACCCCTCTTGCAGGGAAATAAGGAAAAAGGTTTAAACCGCAGAAAAGATTTGAGGGATTCAATCAAGAGAACGTAAAAATAAATTTAATGTCAAGTCACTGTTTATTTAATAGACATCAACCACTTATAGAAGTTGTTTTTATATCAAATGGATATTCTAAACAGAATTTCAGCAACGTGCAATATTGTGTATTTTCTTACGGTGATCTACAAATAAGATCCATGATATTCTATACAGTTTGAGAATACTTTGTGTATCAAACAGTGACATTTAATTTATTATAGTAGTTGGTCAACATAGACCAAGCTATCTCCACAATCGCTAGGCCAAACATTTTAATTCTAAACTCGTTCTATCGCTGGAACTTATTGCAACATCTAACTAATAAAATTGTACATCTGGATTCTGCAAGATAAATTTATATCTACTTGAAGACATTAGGAGCAAGGTTAGAAGAGGACATTACCACAACATCTTCCATTTGCTGGCCAATATCTGGGAGGCCCAAGTTATCTGCAAGGCTTGAGGAGTCCATCCCATGACCATGCTGTAGAAGGATATCTGGCCTTCGATAGGAGTCCCTTCCCAACCTTGAGTTTCCAGAATCCAATGAAGGGATATGGTGGACAAGTCCAGGTCGGTGGTGATGTGAGATTCCACTTTGGTCTTGATTTGGTTTGTTTGGCCATCCCTGTTGTTGACTTTGAGGGGCATGAGATGGATGGATTGGATTGAAGGCGAACGGATCTCCTATATGGGAGTAAGGGTCAGCAGACTGTGAGTAGGATAGAGGTTGATATGGAGGTGGGAAGTAGGGGGGCTGGAAATCTGAAGCCCCCGAGTGTGACAAAGGGGGAGCTGGACTGTACAGGTGTTGGCTGACAGCTGACAGATGGGGTAATCTTGGGTTTCCATTACTGCTACCATCATGTCGGTCCTAAAAAGCAAAAATAATGAAAAATATATATAGGTTACAATCATAACTGTACAAAAGACATATGTTGGTTAATAAATGCCAATTACAATGTTCACAATTTTTTGCAAGTTCGAAACACACAGACCTCATACCAAGATTCCTATAGTTTTATTTAAAATAACAATATAAGCAAAAAATATATTCTAAGCATGTGATCATTTTCTTTAATGAGCACAGCAAGTCATTCTGCTAAAGCAACCACAACCAGGATGCATATAATCTAACCAACATATCTACTGTTACCTTTACTAGCGTCCCACCTCATTCTACTATAGACACAATCTAATTCCCAGAACTGGAGCTATATATTGATATTGAACCAGGTACTGTCAGATCTGTTACTATGTATCAAGCACTGAGGAATTGTGAAGTCATCAATAAGTGATATTATTGAATGTGTGTATTGATTTCACCCATTTTAGGTCATGTGTAAACATCGCACAGAATATTTTAGGGATGTGAAGCCTCTATTAAGCCAATCACTAGTTTACACAGATTACAGCTTCACGGTCATTTAAAAAAAAAAAAAAAATAGGACAAGGTAATCAAGAGAAAGCCTCCCTCCATAGTCCATCAGTGCGATACCGCCTTGCTAAATACCTCCTATTGATTTCAAATGACTGAGACTAATTTAGCGGAGCCATAGTGAGTAGCCGCTCAGACCGTGACAAATCCACAAAAATTAATTACCGAGTCCAGGAGGAAAAATAAAGTGTGCGACCTGGAAGAACAGATCTACTTATGAGCAGAACAAAAAAAAATAAAAAGTGTAACATATTTCACACTCTGTACAGCGCTGCGGAATAGGTTGGTGCCCTATAAATAGTAGAATTTTCTGAATGTACTTAGAATGTTATAACAAAAAACTTAAGACAACCGAGGATAACTCCTTCACGTACAAAATAAGATTTATAAAGAAACAGGCTTTCCTTTATATAATCTGGCCCCTACAATTTCAAAGCTATATATATATATTTTTTATTTATATAGCACTTTTCTCCCAGAGGAAAAGTCACATGTCCACGTCAAACGGATAATTCAAAGTGCCAAATTGTTATATAATCACTGACAAAATGAAACTTGCATAAGTAAGCTTTGATAAAACTGGGCCCCCTGCACACTGTCCCTCTAAATCAAAGACATTTTTTTTATTTTATTGATACAATTACTTCCAAGTCTCATTCAACCATTGTACAGCACTGTTGATACTTTTTAAAGAAATACAATTCATTTGGCATCCATATATATATGTATATATTTAATGTTAGTTCATGATTGAGAGATCCCATCTCCAGGATTAGATCCTCTTGTCTCTAGCGCCCACTAGCTGCTAAAAGGAGGAATAACATTAGCCAAAATATACATAAACTGTATATAAAATATTACATTCTGCAGGACTTCCATCTACAGCTATTTCACACTTTATTTCAAACTAATCAGGTTATTAAACAATTCTTTCAGGAATTCACTGTTCTGTGGAGTAACTTGATTAATAAACATGCACAATTCTACTGTCAATTTCATAATATTTTGGCCATGATTCATTAAAAGCAATACAAAACATATAAAGGCATAGAACAAACATTAAAGTGTTTAAACTACACCAGTAAACATACAATTTAGAATACACCCAGAGCACACCAACAGGTGACATCTCAGATCATGCATGGAGGGTAGATTTGCACACAATCTATGGAGGGTTAGAGCTCCCAAACACCCAGTAAGGAAGAGGTTAAATCAAACAATGTCCATTCTCAGTACCAAACACCAAAACACAAACTATTAGATCACCTCACCTCACACTCCTCTTCATATTTTACATTATCAGCCAGTTTCCAAAGCATTTTCAAATCCTTATCCAAAGGGTACAAAAAAAAAAAAATTATAAAAATGTAAAAAAAAAACAAAAACAAAAAAAAAAACCCTAAAATAAATCCAAATTTTCTGTGTTTCCCAATCTTCAACAGTCAGGCATGAAGCCTCACACAACTGATTTGTGTCACATGAATTCTATCCAGACTTAATGGTGTAAGATGTCATAACTCCTCCCCAGGGAAGGTCTTAAAAGCAGCCATGGTTAATTATATAGGGGGAACAGAACCAGCCAATCAGGAGAGGCTGAGAGCTGAAGCCACGCCCCCTCAGTAGTGTTGCTTTCAGAACCAGTGTGTAATAAGAGAGACAATGTAGATACATTATTATCAGTTAGAATTCTCTGCAATATCGTGAAGGTAGACTTTGAGAACACAGTGAAACGTGTCTGATAATATCTGCTTAATTAAATGATTCTAGCAATTTTAAGACCATTTATTAGAATATAAGTTTAAACAGGTTATTATTGTCATTTTTGCATTTTAACATTAATTTGTGACATCTGTTAATTCCCCCTGGATGTTCCTAAAAATGATCAGACTGGTGGAAGATTTAATGCAATGGGATAGCATGTCCAACAGAACACTAGATTATTAATATCCACTGGTAGTGCACCTTTAAAGGGTTAACAGATTCACATTGCAGATTGGAGTGACTTTCCCAGCCTCTGGTGACATATTGTGATGCCCTAGCAATCCATTGTCTAATTGTTATGTTATTACCAAATAAATCCTTAGATGAACACACTCCTTGTGGCAAGAAAATATAGAATCATCTAATAATACATTGAAATATACACTTAACCAGCCAAGATGAACTGTGTGTGATAACTGATTAGAATGCTGCAAGGGTGGGATCTGTATACCAGGAGCATTGTATGGATGGGAATTGGGCTAAAATAGCTTTCTAGGACAGATTAACCCTTCCAGGAGATGCAATGAATAATCAGGATCTAATTGTGATAACTTTGCCTGGGGGTTCACAATTCAAAGCTTTACTACAATCCCACATGGCATTCAACTGCTCACAGAAATGATTTGGTGAAATTAGTTAACCCCTTAAACACCAATGCAAAATAAAACAGTGGTGGTAGAAAATCGTGCATCACTGAGCAATGTATTAACCTCTTCCACTCCTGAGTGACCAAGCAGCAAAGGAAAAAAAAAAATTGAAAAATCAGACTTTTTTTAAATTAACCCCTTCAGAACCAATGCCAAGTTAAAGATTTACACAACGCTAGCCCTGGCAGTGTTAAAGGGACGAGTCATACTAATTCGGAATATATAAAATGAGAATCAATATATTATAATATTATTTAATCCAAGATTAATTTATTTTAAATGATCTGCTATAGTCTTGAACCTCATTTAGGATCTGTCCACTGAATTCTGAGTATGTTATCAGATTATTCTCCTGGGTTGGGGAACTGTGGGGAATCTAGCAGATAATTGCAGAGTTCAGGCTAAAACAATCGAGATATATTCAAACTTACCTACCGATTTTTTCCCCTAACCTGGCCTGAATTTTGCAATATTTTTTTCCAGGGCACTAAAAGGCAGCATTTCATAATAAATCCCTATATTGATGGAGAGGGGAGGTATCACATTATGTATAATTTTTCTTAAATTCAGGTTTTGACAAATATTCTAATTGAATCCTTTCCACATTGGCTCATGCTAAATAGCCACACATTGCATTTATATAGATTAATCTCCTATAGGAATAATGACAATTGGGGGAGTACTGGCCCCAAGTGGGGTCATTTACAAAAAGGCAAGTTAAATTAGATCTCAGCCAGACCCCAATATATAGATCTGACAGATCCATACAGCTGGTTGGACTTTGGCTGATCTGCTTTTTATACATTGTATATCTCTCCAAAAACTGCTTTGTAAGTGACAAACAGCAAGGTAAAGGAAGCTCACCCCTAAACCTGTATTTCTTAATAGACAAATAATTATACATAAAATAATGATACCACCCCTTACAACACAACATAAAAAATAATAAACACCCTGCAATCCCTAGCTAGGTTAACACTAAGCCTCCCCATCCTGATTAACCCCTTAATGACCAGATATATGGGAAAGTTCCTTTAGGTTAATGCTTACTAGGCATGTTTGGCACTTAAAGGGTTAATGTCGGTTTGGGGGTTTACTCCAGCTTTTTCAGCCAATCACCCCCCAGCCCTCTACACTGGTGTCTCCTCTGAACATGATACTTCGAATACTGACTTAGTAGAGATTATCATGGTTACAGTTTATTTAGATTATTCTGACAGATACATTGACATTAATAAATAAAAATAAAGATTAATTCATAGACTTGCTCCACCCATGGCACAGAACCCCTAAATACCCCAGGACAATTAATCGCCTGTGATTTTAAAAGCTCTGTTCCTGTTTATCATACAAACTGTCTGCTTTTATGGTTTACCACACTTAGTGGGAGTATGGCTACATTTTATATACAGAGATAGATACATAGATAGATATGTATACTGTTACTTAGTGATCAGAAATGCTCACAAAATTGGGATTGTAGCAATTACCCTTTTTGTAAGGCTTGGAGCCATTCAGCAGGCGCTCACATGAATTCCTTGAGTAATGGTCGAGGGCTGAACCTGTGCTAGTGGCTGATCTATATTATATATAACAATCTATCAGAGGGGATTGGTTGGGGAAACGGGGTCTGACAATCACCTCTTTATTTAGATCACAAGCCCTGTCTGTATTCTCTCAGCTTGTTATAAAACCGTACAACTAAACACTTCCCCACACACAGACTATACAGGTTACATGGCTTTATTGTAACCTTTAATAAACAGCATTCTAGGTTATGGTGGCTGAGGGTGATGAGAGTTACAAGGGGGGGGGAACGTAACTGTGTAGCCAAGAGTTTAAATCTTCATTAATTGACTGTTGAAAATAAATATTTAATTTTATGTATTTATTCACAAAGTGCCAAAGTCTCATTTTTACCTGCAATAATATATTTCACCCCATGTGTTTGGAGGGGGATGGTGGTGGGGGTAGAAGGCTTTTTAATGAATTAGTGTTCCCTGTAATCAGTTGAGAATGTCAGGCAGTTGCCTCTAATCGCTATTATCATTTTTGGTGGGGCTGCATGTTAAATTGCTGTTGTTTTTCCTCTACAGAAAATTCCCTTTGAAATGCAAGATTTTTTTTTCTTTTTTCTAACTTGCTTGTAACAGCAAGTGTTTGGGTCTAATTCCCAAAGGGTTTGGCGTCATTAAGACTCAAATATAAATAAATTAAAAATAAGAATAAAAATTACAAACCATCAAAATCCACATTTAAATTCTTGGGGGTTTGCCAGGAAGATTTTAAGAAAATAAAGTGTGTAAAAAAAAAAAAAGTTTATTATTTAAAAAAAAAAAAACAGTTGCAAGAAGTTTAATGTCTGTCAATCAGACCAGCTAGGACAAAGGTTTAGGCAGAGTTATTTAGATCGTATAAAAATACAATTCATGGTTTAATAAATAAACCCACTAACATTGTTTTTACAAGTTTCAAAAACAAAAATCTCTTTCACAAAGTTCAAAAAGAGAATTTTCATAAAATATTGTAACTGGACCTATGTATATTTTTACTTAGCATTTTTAAAAAATATATATTTTTTTTATCTAATTTAATTTCACTACAGATTCAAACAGTAACTGTCTGTGCATTCTATACATGTAATACAATTTTAAATATATTTAACATGTTTTAATTCAGAATTTATTATTTACATTATTATTTGATTGCACTATGAATTGCGTTAAATTGTGTTTTCCCTTACATCCTTCCCAAATTACATTTCTGCTTAAAAAAAACCACATTTTAACCTATTTTATTGAGTCTACAAATTCAGCTGTTCTCTAAAATATTAGTATTTTTCTTAGTATTTAATTGTAATATTTATTCGTATTTTTCTTAGCATTGTACTTTTTTATATGTTTGCCAACAAATATTTCTATATTATTATATAGATTGCATGTTTTTAATTTTGCACTTATTGCATGTTTATAAATTTTTGCAATTTTTAACAAAGATCAGCTAAAAAAATATTGTCAATATTCTCAATATTTTTTTAGCTGATCTTTGTTAAAAATTGCAAAAATGGTCTTGTTTGCAAATAGCAACAAAGTATGACCCAGCCCTGCTATATGGATATAATATAACAAAAACCCTGCATTGCTGCCATGTGATAAATATGTAGATTGCTTTAATAGTTACAGAGGATCGATCATTTGTACAAAAAAATACCTGGAGAAATTAGGACTAATTTAGCTGCAGTAACTCAAAATATTACTTGTTAGAACGTTGTAGACTGGAGTTAATTTTAATGTATTTTGAAATTTTTGTTTTTATATTTTACCTTACAGTTTACTTAATATTTCTAACTTTGTAAATACTTTTCCAAACCCCAAATACATGTAATCAGCCTACTTTAAAATATATTAATTTATTATTTTATACACAAATACACACGAATGCATGTATATATGTGTATTTAATGTGTATATATATGTGTATATACTTTTAAAAAATGTTTAATAACGTATACTCTTTTTGTATCCTAGTATCACTTTTGTGTGTGTGTTTTTTTATATATATATCAAATATATTACAAATTCTCCCCTGCCCTTACAGGGTTAATAGTGTTTTAAAAGGTTTATATTGCCTTAAATGGTCATGATAGGCCATTAAACAATGCCCAGCTATCATGCACAGAATACTATTGTATAATACAGTAACATGTGTCATTTGCAGGATTTTATAATATTTAAGACATGGGGAATGAATAGTTTGCAGGATGTGTTTCTGTGTATCTGTGAGGATATAAATGTCATTTTCTTGTAGATTAAAGATGGTTATAATCTTGGCTGAGCTCAGTATGAATAGATCCAGTTACAGGTAAGGAGGGAAGATCAACATTTATATTTATATATTTTGTGTTTTTGTTGTACTTCTGATACCCGGATAAGTTTGGAGAGATCCAGGGAGGGATTAGAAGAATTCACACAGAACTTTTAAATGTCATGTGTAGTTTTGCGGCTCAGGGGAGATGGGGATTTGACGCATACTGGTCTCTGAGTTGTGAATATGACGCACATTGCGGTTGGCCACAATGAAAAAAATAATAACAATAATACTCTCTAACATTTAAGTAAAAATCCTCAAAATGCTTTGCATTAAAAATAATAATTATTATTATTATAATATATATATATATATATATACATGTATTTTATTTTATATATATATATATATATATATATATATATATATATATATATATATATATATATATATATATATATATATATATATATATATATATATACACAGACACACACCAACACACATACACATACACACACACAAACACATTTTAAAGAGGGACTGGAGGCAAATTAAAATGTTAATTGGATTTTTATTTTATTTCATTTTTTTTTTTAATGCCCTGGGAATCTCTCAGCTGGGGTCCCTTTAATTAGGATTCTTTACAGTAATTAATACGGATTTAGGGGATCTAACGAAGCAAAATTGAAAGGGTGAAAATCCCAGCCACAAAGTGCGAATTATGGCGATTTGTTCTGCAATGAGTAAGACTTAAAGCAGCTAAACTCTGCGCTTAGTGGTGAGAATATCTCAGAATAATAGCACATTAACAATGATCCCTATATAATAACAAACAGTTCAGGGTACATTTAAATAAATATCTCCCTTCTACTTGCATGATATTTATTTTTATATTTTTATTGGTCTTTGTTTAATCGTACAAACAGCATTAAAAACATTCCAAATTGAGGGTTATTCAATAAACACAGTATCTGTGAATACAGCTGATTTGGAGATATAGTTATCATTCAGATTTTGTCTACTTTGGCCTGTTTTGCAGCTCAATTCTCTGTTTGCTAGAATTTGTAGCTTCTTTTACTAAACAATAAATTAAAAACACAACAACAACAAAATTATAAAACAAAACAAACTGTAAACCGAGGGCTTAGAATCTCATTGTATCTGTTGCACAATAAATCCATCCTGGTGTAACCTCCTCTGGTAAACCCAGCCAAAGTGTCCACATTATCTAAACAAATACAAGGTGTCATATATGCTTCTTAAGGGATCCATCTTTGCTTACTTTGGAGAGTACACTCTGAGGCTATAAAAATCACTTTAATCTTCTGAGGATACAATTAACAATCCCTGATACACACAGAAATCAGGAGAGAACTTACCTGCCAGTCTGATCTCCCCAGCAGAGCCATTTCAGGTGGGCTTCAGGGTAGACTCACAGCAGATATAGTTGCTTAAAATGTTACCTTGATGAAGCATACACCTATTCTGTCTGCCCCAGGCTTTGCACATGTTCATTGACTCATACACTACTTAACTTTCTAATGTAGCTCTCCACTCCTTCCTACACCTCCCCCTTTGATATCCAGTTTGATCTTACACTACTTGAACACTTTTTTAAAACCAGTTCATGTCACCTGGTGGATTATACTACCTGGCTATTGGTGATGGCACCCTTACTGACATAGGGATGGCCAGGGCTATACACCCCCATGCCCCAAATTCTGGGAAATCCATCCAAAATATTTATTTTGGGGTTAATCTGCAGTTTGGTAAATAGAAGAGAGACTGGACAAAATGGGCCACCTATTGGAGTACCCTGTGTACTGACACTTACCTCCTACCTCTAGTGGATCAGTAATATTGCCTGGACAGGTAGAGTCCTACTGAATTTTATTTTTTTAATGTTTTTGTTGTTTTTTTCTTCGTCTGATTTTAATTGTCTACAAGGACCTTAGAGTGGTTGCTGTCTCACTGTGACTCCAGGCTTTGTAAAACAACTCTCATGACACTCAGCCAACCACAGGAGGTTAGCCATTTCTGCTTTTTTAGAGTACCTTTTGTACAGCGCTGAGGAATATGTTGGAGCTTTATCAATAATTGTAATTGACATGCTTAATCTATCTGTGATGTTATTAAAAAAACCAAGAACAAAATGTGTGTTTTATCTCAATACATACTTTTAATGGGGCTTATTCAATAAAATGTGAGTTTGTCTGAATTTGAAAGGAAGGGGTGTGCTCGCTAAGCACCAAATTGTAGAAAATTGAAATCCAAATTGCAAAGCTCAGGTTGAAATAGCCAAACTGTAACTATGTTGAAAATAGAGATTTTTTTGTAAACCATCTATTGGGGCTTAATGTTTTTTCTTCTCAGATCACAGTTCACAGCAATAAGAGGATAAACTGCAAAATAAAGGACACAATTGTAATTTGGGAACATAGCTCAATTTCAGTTATTACCAATCTCCAATTTATTCAATTTTTAATTTAGTGTTATGTGATTCAGCCCAATAATGTGATGTACAGCATATAATATAGTGTATTCAATACTTATAAATCTACGTGTCAGGAATGTATTACGTATCTATACGTATAATATTCCATATCAGACACTGTATTTATGCAGGTAGCCCCCAAGACCTTATTTTCTCTGTATACAAAATACAATTAAAAGGCCCAATCAGGTTTTATAAACAGTCTAATCTAAAGTGACACCTTATTCGAATTGTCCATGCCAAGAATGTATTTTTCTGCCTAACAAAGACCATCCCATTCAAGAGTTTACAAACAAACATTTAATGGGGTTTAAGTGTATGTAAAATGGGACAGGTGGAGGGGGGGAAGGGTAGAAAACTAATGACTCTTTAGTCCATTCTTCACAGCTCATGAGCTGATGTGTTGCCTGTTAAGTAGTATCATAATGTCTGGCGTGATGTAAAATGATCCTTAAAAGATATAAAGATATTATGATAAATATGACTACTAGTGAGCTCAGATTTCAAAGCTTTAGAAAGATCTTTAAAGTATCCAACGATTGTGAGCTGGAAGCCACGGATATTCAAAGATGGGAAGGTGAGATAATGTCCCCAAAGCCTACCTGACATTAAATGCTCTCATATGTTTTATGTCTGACCACTATATTAAAGAGGTAAACCACAAAGCCCATCCTCCACTTTATTCCAAAAGGAAGATGACTTCTAATGAAGTCTTAACAGTAACGAAAAAATGTAATGCTGTAAGAAGGTGGTGGTAAACCTATGAGACGAAGGCCACCATTGGCTCTCAAGGCCTTCTGAAGTGGCCCTCTTATCCCGAAACAAAAGACTAGCGTTGATGAAAGATGGTCGCGTCAGAGAAGTGTCTTCAGGTTCTTCTGAAATACGTGGTGGCCATCTGTTGTATTGATAGCTTGGAGAAATTTGTTCCAGAGCTGTTTCCCCTGCTCTGAGGAGATCGACCACCATTTTTCTCTTTTTTTGAATTTCTTAACCGTGATATGTGCTGCTGTTGAGGAGAGAGAACATTAAATAGATACTGTACATATTCTGTGGATATTGTTGTCCAGTGTGGTGATGCATTTGAAGGATGACCATTGTTTAGTTGGAAGACATTGTAATTGCTTGAGTTCATCCGAGATATGGTTCTCATTTCATAACACTTGTTCAGAACTCTCAAACCCAACTCGCACCATCCAGAGGGGTATGACTGTCTTGAATATTCTACAATCTACGGACAGTCAGGAGGTGAAGATTTTAAAACTTACAGTTACTATGGAGTTTGTTCAATAAACCAGGATTCCTGGATAATTTTAAGAGGAATTACAAATTCTAGGCCAAAAGCTGATCTGCAAAAAATTGCTATTTTTGCTTAATGTTTGCATTTTCCTTTGGGGTTTATTCACAAAACTGTTCTTTTACTCCATAAATCATAAACATAGATCACTATGGTGAGGTGTATTAATAGTCCCCATTAGGAACATAAAAACCCCCAATTATGAATGGGATGCACATGATTTGAACCTAGTATTGCACTTACACCCAAAATTAACAATAACGATTCCTAATGTCACCATGAAGTGCTAAGTGTCAAAGATTCCAAGTTAAATTTCAACTCGCAGAACCTAGTTAGACAACAAGAAAATAACAACATTTTCGGGATGGCCAAATTTCGGCCTTATGATCGTTCGGCTCAGATGAAATGAAAATCCACGAAAATAGGTCAATTACTGTACTGGATATATTCTGATGCACACTGATTTTCCTGCAATTTGGTGCACAGATCAGGTGAGGAAAAGTAACCAGTTGATGGAATATATATAATATATAAATATCGATTTTTATTTGTACTGTTCCTACTTTTCTTTTCACTATTGGTCACTTCTCACTTGATCTGTGAATAAAATCAACTTTTGGTAATTGCCCCTAAACCATCAATCATCTTTTTCCCATCGATTATATCCTTTTTTTTTGGAATTCCGAAATCAAATTAAAATGAATACGCTCATCCATAGGGCATTTCGTCTCAGAGTTCAGGAATACCCAAGGACTAGGAAGCCAGCGAGAGAGAAGGACAGGAGTGTCAAGCCATGTCTGGGACAATGGATATTAAGATAATCAATACTGCCCTCGCCAAATCATTGAGTCAGAGGTCAGCGTAGATGAGAAGCAAGTTAAATCTATACAGCCAAATTAGCACTAACAAAAGAACGTAGTAGAGAGTCAAGAAACCTCGATGGGGCGCCAGTAAGAGCAGAATAGAGGTTTGATTGGAAATCACAGATGCACATTACCAGTGATCAAGCCGTCGGTCTTTTAGAACATGTAATACGTCCAGCTACATAGTAACTGTGCAAACACAGTTCAATGCTCCGACATTCAGTTGACACATTTTCTCTGTGATCACAATAAGCCGACCAGTATCTACATTGCAATCAATGGTCTCTGCCATTTTCAGATGGATCTCATCACTTTCATATCATTTGTCTGAACATGACCAACCAAATTGCAGCCAAATTTTTGTCACATTTCCCTATTATAAGAGAGCAAGTAAGGTAAGAGTAGGTGTTTTGTATTAGAGTTCGGGTATTGTTATAGAATAAAAGGGTTTAGGGTGGCATTAGTGTGACGTAGGGTTAGGGAACGTAGAGTTAGAGGTGCATTAAAAATAAATTTGGGGCAAATGGAAGTGCACATTCAATTGAAATCTACCTTTTATGAATAACAGAAAGGATTGCAGCTGCCAAAGTGTTGTAACCAAAAGGCATTTGGTTGCTGTTCAGTTGCCATTCGGTATTTAATTAAAATATTCAAATTGTATCTAATTAGATATGTAAACATTAAAGAGCTATTAACTCCATATGGAATATTGGGCACAAAAATGACAAAAATAAACCCATTCTAAGGATCCGGTTCTTGGCTTTACAATGGAAGCAGGTTTTTAATGCCAAGAAGGGGAAGAGATTTGCCAAAATGAATCACATGGTTAATACCTTATACAAACAAAATACATTATAGTCTCTCTCGTTACCTTTAGCAACAGAAACTAGCTACTAATAAAATATTAATGTGCTGACTAATCAGCAACAGCCATTAAGTGACAGTACTTTCATGGGTGTAAAAAGCATGTATTTACTGTGTATTTGCGGTCTGTAATAACAGGTAATTTCCATGCGTCCAGGGCAGGATTAACTGTAAGGTGACTTTAGGCAGCTTCTTAGGGCCCCGGAGTTAGACAGGGGCCCCGTAATAATGAACATCCCTATGTGAAGAATTAAGGAGGAGTCAAATTTGTGGGATTTTAATCCGTCTCTGCATGTGTCCTGTGCACTCTCTGCATGTTCTGAATACTCATATCAAGTGTTCTTACTGTATAATACTGGAACTGTCACTGCGCAGTAACTGTCTCATGGTGCAGTCACACAGTGACAGTGTGCCAAGCTACAAAAATGGAACCTTTGTAAAGAGAATGCAGGCAGCAGGTCCCCGGAACTTGCAAGAGAACAATATATGTTCATATGAGCCAATAATGTAATATAGCTTTTGAGATAGCTCAATGAGTTAATACACCAACTTAAAATCTCATCAAATATTAAGTTCTGTTTCTTGCAGGTCTGCTCGGCCTTTTTGTCCTTCTGAAGTCGATGAACCAAGTACCATTGTGTTGAGAAAAAAAAATATGTACATCAACTATAATTTAAATTTATAATTGTCATATATTGATACTGATATATTATTAAATATATAATTGTTGTGATATATATATTTAAATTGTCTTATTTGAGTTCCATTTCCAGTTAGCAAGTATTCTGTCTTAATGACTTACCAATCGTTAAAAATAGCTAAATTAAATATTATCTTAAAACATAAGGAAGTGGTCAAATGGTAAAAAGATTTAGCCACAACTACTAATAAACAGCATAATATGATTGTAAAAGAAATGGTCAAATTAAATGCAGTGCAGTAGTGCTAATTGATAACACACCTTTTATAGCTTTTTTTTTTTATAACCCGGATAATTTTTTGTAAAAGCCTGATATTTAAGGCATTTCAAGGCATTGATAAGGGAAGGGCATTTTGTTATGGGGTTTAATCTTGTGATTTGAAAACTGAATGGCAGAAAGAACCGATTCGTAAAAATTCTCAAAGTAAGCTATCATCACAATTTAAATAATTTCGCCTAAATTTAGCAATTCGTTTTTTTATTTCACGACAATGTGGTATTTAGTGGGTGAATTCTCTTGTGTTTAATTAATATTGTGTATTATATATTTATTTTACTTTCTCAAGTACCAGGCTAAAATAAACGAGATCATCATTACATGTAAAGGGTCTTCATTTGCAAATGTTAAGTAAATAAGCTACTGTGCCAGGACCCCCCTAAGGGGGGGATTCAAAAGCCGGCTCCTGTTTTCAGATGCTCAAACTACAGTGGGTAATGTAAGTGTGTTAATCCCATTTGACCCCTGTGATTCCCTCAATCATTGATTACCATTTAATAAGCTTTGGGGTAGTCCCGTCCTAGTGTCCCCTTTGAGACATGCTGAGTTTAAAACCAGGATTTTTTCACCTTATGTCATTATTGGTTTATATTACAAGGTAATAAAACATTCA